TTTGAGTCATATTACAAAGTGTAATTATAGAATTGAGAGAGAAACACAAATATAGAGTAATGTTCAACGTTCATGACTTTAAGAAATGCATACACGTAACAATAATAACAATGTTTATACAGAAACTCTAAGGTAGCAAAGTATCGATTAACAGTAAACTACAATAAACAGGTGAGACTTCACAGCTAATTACTCAGGGATAGGTCTCTTTGACCAAAACTGCCTATCTCCTAGAAATCTGGGCTTTATTTAACGAATAAAGAGACATTTTATACTTAATGATAAGTGGAACGACTTCACTATGTATAGGCATTGTTATCCATTACACACTCTTCGCTTCAAAACTGTACAATTCCATTGAAATTCTGTAGATCCTGACAACAGGTTTCAACAGGACAAGCCCAGGACATTAAACAAATAACGATAATGAAAGTACTGTACATACGTAAGAAAATGATATACGGTGTCAGACCAATGTTTAGGTTACGTTTGGTCGAAAAAAGGCGTGTTAGATTTTTATAGTACAATATATATGTTTATAGACTTAGGTACTTTATTATTTAGGTAAAACAGGTGTTATTCTTCCCGAAGGGCCAATAGGGCCTTTACTTTTATTTGTTAATTCAACCATTTACATTCGTAGGATCAATTCGATCCTTTCTATGTATCATTACAATCGGTCTTATAGCTAATATCTATCATATCTTTAAGATTGTTCTGATCGTACAGATCCTTTAGATCAGGGTTATCAGGGAAATCGGGCCGATCGGGAGCCTAAATTTGGAGATACCCGAAATCACGAGAGCACGTGCCTGCTCCAGGTCACGTTTCCGGTTTCACAACGGTAATAAATAGGAACGTAATCAACGATTTTTACGTATATACATCATTATGTGATGTTTATAACTAGCCATTGCATCTTTTCCAGAGCCACTTTAATTTTTTTTATGCGTATTAGCGATAAAAGAGAGATAATTTATTATTAACCACTATATATATTAAAATACACTATATTATGTTAAACCTTAATTTTGAATTAATCTAGTCCGAGTAAGTATATTAGAGGTTTCAAAGTCAACAAATAAGTGACACATTGCGAAAATAAATAGCATTTTTCAATAGCATTTTTACTATGAGATTCTCTGATTTTAGGCCAGACCAAGTTGATTATGTGTTTTACATTACCCCCCTCTCCCCTCCAGGAGAGGGGGGAGGAGGTGGTTCACAGTAAAATTTAAAAATTTTTTTTAAAAAAAAAAATTTCCCGGATTTTTCCGTGGCTGTATAAAAATTTTCCGAAATATCCCATATCCCTATGTATATTTATCAAAAATTTTTTTTACTATGAGGGAGCTCTGAGGAGGGGGGTAATGTAAAACACATAATCAACTTGGTCTGGCCTTAACTTTGAAACCCCCTATTAGATATCGTTTTGAGTGATGTCAAGAAAATGGGACTTAATCTTATAAATTCTTAGATAATTGAAAATCCATTTTCCCTTGGCGTCACTCATTTTATTATTGTATTAATCATTACACTTTAAGATTCAATTATTTAAAATAATGTATTTAAAGTTCTCGAATCTTCATACGTTTCAAATTAACATATTTAAGAGACAAAAATCGAATTTGGAATTACGAATGCCAAATTAGAAAGTATAAATAAATGAGATATTTAAAATCACGAATATTTATCATTAGAAATCTAATTTGGAATTATAAATGTAGAAAAGAGAGTGTATTTGGTAACTCACATTTATATGTTCTGCGTCATTTCTGAATTTACGCCAATTCTGGTATCATTACTCAATTTTCACCGTCCGAGAAATGCAGGTCATGAGATCACAGCAATATAATAAGCCATTGATAATAATTGCGAATTATATATAAATTCATTATATCAAGAGTAGGAATGGGTTAGGTCAGCTATCATCGACTATCGACTAGTAGCCGGCTATAGCCAATAAATTACTTGATCAATTTCTTAATCGATTTTTCAATCAAACATATAAACAAGTGCCAAATAATTATATTTTTATGTTATACAGTTATACATATTAGAGTATCCTAGCCATGGCGAAAAAACAGCTGCAAACAGCCAATTAAATCCGATCTACATTTTCAAAATCATTCACAATAGGCCAAACGATCTGCAAATTTGACCAGAATTAGATTGTTTGAAAATGTAAATCGGTCGAAATCAGCCCATATGAGATTTTGAAAAATTTTCATTATTTCTCTGTAACTACTTGATTAAACTCAGCAATTTTTTATTGATTTTAATTCTAAGCTTTTGTAGAATTAAAATAAAAAAATTTTATAGATGGTTGTTGAGAAATCTTTATTAAAATTTAAAAAATATTCGAATTTTATAAAAAATCAGCAAATTTCTTACTTTAAACGAAGATTTCTCAACAGCTATTGATTCAAATTCAACGAGAACTTTTTTCTTTTAACTCTATAAGTTTGTTGAATTGAAATAATATATATATATATTGAAATTGGATAGGCGGTTGTTGAAAATCTTCACTAAATATTTTAGAAAAAATTAGTCACAACTTTCTTTATAGATACCTAAACTTTGAACAATTATTACTTGGCACTCATCTGATCAATTTTGATCGAAATTTTATTTTGTAAGTACCAAACAATTTTCATTAGCTTATATTGAAATCATCTTGATTTTTACTTTAAGTTACTATAAAACAATAAAATACCTTAGCTGTCGCACCAATTTTGCCACGGTAGATTCTCGATTTCAATTAGCTAATTGTCGTGGTTTACAGAATTTTGGCCAGCATTATACAATTGTTACGTAATTTCGGCCGGAATTAAGTTTTTTTTATTACAAAAATAGAAATTTTTAGGGAAATAAGCCTAGATTTTTGATCGTCGCTCTTAAAATCGAGACGTGCAGCTAAGGTATTTCTTGCAATAATTCTATATAATTTGTACACTTCATGCTGAATTAAGCAATAATTATGTTTATCAGCCAGGAAATAAAAATTTGGGATCGGCTAGCCGGTCAGCTAGGCCGCTATAATCAACTACATCGGCTACGGTCGGCTAGCCGACTATTAGCTGACCGAACTCATCCCTAATCAAGAGACCCTTATATATTTAAATATGGATATAACAAATCAAAACCTTCAACTCCAGAGTTTCGTTATATCGAGGTTATACTATATATATGTGTGTGTTTAGAAGCATTGGAATTAAGTTATTTCACCAATCGAACATTTATAACGAAGTATTCACTAAAGAGGTGATTTTCATTTTGTTTCTTAATCATTTATACTTTCACATATCAAGTATTTATTTTACATTAAAATTAGAGACAAATTTAATATCAATACACTAATATATTAACAGTTGATTTTTCAATTTATTGCATTATATTAATACCAGGATTGTTTGATTTTAGTTTAAAATTAATTTCATTTTTCTCAAGTTTCAAAGAAGTCAGCGTTGTGTTCTTGCAAAGTGCGTTTTCTAATGCTTTTCCTCCTACATCTCCAATGTTATTATAATAAAGGTTCAAAGAAGTCAATGTGGTGTTCTTGCAAAGTGCGTCCGCAAATGCTTTTGCCACTTCAGATCCAAAATTATTAAAACTGAGATTCAAATAAGTCAGCGTAGTATTCTTGCAAAGAGCATCTGCTAATGCTTTTCCTTCTTCTGTACCAAGACTATTGCTACCAATATGCAAAGTAGTTAACGTGGTGTTCTTGCAAAGTGCATCTGTTAATGCTTTTACACCTTCTGATCCAAAATTATTGCCACCAATATATAAAGCAGTTAACGTGATGTTCTTGCAAAGTGCATCTGCTAGTGCTTTTCCTCCTTTTGATCCAACATAATTATCATGAAGACACAAAGATGTCAGCGTAGAGTTCTTGCAAAGTGCATCTGCTAATGCTTCCCCCTTCTGATCCAAGATTATTGCTGGAAAGATTCAAATTAACCAACCCGGCGTTTTACAAAGAAACCTCGCTATTATTCTTTCCCCTTCAATACCAATCTGATTATTATAAAGATCTAACGAATTTAGGGCAATGTTTTCATGAAGAGACTCTAATAATGTTTTCACTATTTCAGAACCAAGTTTACTAGATCTAAGATTTAAATATTTAAGACTCTTACTAGTTCGTAGAAACATTGTAATCAAAGAAAATTTAACGACATTTTTACATCCTGTTTCATATTTTTCATCCAATTTATAATTCCATAATCCAAATCATCGCTAATAGATGTGATATAACTTGTATATTCAAATAATGGTTTAGGGTGACTTGGAAGGGTAATATTAAAAGGAATTAACAAAGCTTGCTCTTTAATGTTTAACATTAAAAGGAATATTCTTATAAGCCTTATTTCTTTAAAATGGTTTTTTGCTTCGCTCCACAATATTGGTATAATTATTCTACACCATTGACGGTTTACAAGCGCACATGGAAATAAATCTTTATAATTGTGCCGGAGGTTATTAAATATTGCATAGTAGCATTCATTCGGTAATGATATCATATTGAAAGATAAATTTGTACGTATATATATTATATACCAATGAATTGGTGAAACGTTGCCAAAATCCAATAATATATTATTACCATATTGCGAAATAACGTGCAGGGGTGAAATTAAAAATTTCGGCCTAAATTAAGCTTAATTCGGGCCAAACTTCTAAATAACACCATGCTCGCGACAATACGGTCCCATTTTTAAATGGAAGATATTTTTCAGTTTTTAATTTGTTTTGGATTTTATACTTATTATTAGAAAAAGAAAGACTCGATGTTATAATACAAACATGCGGTAAATTGTAAAGCAGTAGGGTTACTATGTAGATCTTATAGTAGAATATGTTACACGACGAACATTAATAAATCACGTGATAACATTTTAGCAGTTAACGGGAATCTAATCTACGTACGTGCGTGCGTACGTACGTAACTAGCTAACGTGTATAATTAGTGTGTAGAAAAAAAGCATCTAGTTATTATGGCACGCAGGTACGACGCACGAACGACTATTTTTTCTCCCGAAGGTGAAATCTGAATTTGAGCTCATCAAGTGTTATAAGATAACCGTCTTAAGCTATTATTGACTCGATATTTGTTAACAGGTCGGCTTTATCAAGTCGAATATGCCATGGAAGCAATATCCCATGCTGGTACCGCTTTGGGTATTTTGGCGTCCGATGGCATTGTGATAGCTGCCGAAAAGAAAGTGACTTCTAAATTACTTGAGCAAACTACCACAAGTGAAAAAATTTATTTATTAAACGAGTATGAATTCATAACCTCTCATTGAGGTTTGTTTAATTAAATTTACACGTTATTTGAAGGTTAAAATTGACATTGATTTGGATGATTTGAAATTTGATTACAGTAACGTTATTTGTGGTGTGGCAGGGATCACAGCCGATGCCAATTTCCTTATAAACTACTCTCGCCGAGCCGCTCAAGAATATTTATATACTTATGGGGAAGATATCCCCGTTGAACAGTTGGTACAAAGGTTGTGTGATTTAAAACAAGGATATACACAATACGGAGGTAATAATAAATACCATTAAACATTTGTAGAATTTTAACAAAAAATAGAAAAATAGAAACAATGTAACAAGTTCTTTATTAAAGGTCTTCGTCCTTTTGGAGTTTCATTTATATATGCCGGACATGATAGTCATTATGGTTTTCAACTTTATCATTCCGATCCATCCGGAAATTACGGTGGATGGAAAGCAACGTGCATTGGTGCAAACAACGCGTCAGCCCAATCATTGCTGAAACAAGATTACAAAGATGAAATAACTCTTAAAGAAGCAAGAGAATTGGCGGCGAAAGTTCTGAGTAAGACTATGGATTCTACCACGTTGAGTAGTGAAAAATGTAATAATTGTTTCAAATTGCATATTTTTGTTTTCGAAAGACAAATTCTAAATTTAAGGTTCTGTTAATTTGTTATTATTTAGTGGAATTTGCGACAATCAGTCTTAACGATGAGGGGAAAGTTTCATATCATCTTTATAAACCAGATGAAATTGATGCTTTATTGAGAGAATATAATTTAGGAGTAGTGGTTGGAGCCGTCTGAAAAATCATGACCCGGGTAACCCGGGTGGATAAATGATAAAATAAAACCCAATTCTTATAAAATTCTATCTTTCTTCTATAATTATAATATGAAATTGATAAAATATTTGATGAATTGCACAAGAACTATACTAGAACTGATTCATAACATGCCAGTAATAATGCTAGATAATTACTTTCGTTGTAGACATGGTTTTTGCAAAAACACATCCCTTTTATATATATATAAATATAAATATTTTCTCGCTTTCATTTTTTTTCTGCACATCAATTTAAAATAAAGGTGTTTTAATCAATTGTATGATAGGAGTATGTATTGTTATTTAAGCAATTACTAAAATTGTTTTGGAGCAATATTTTATTTTCAAAAATTAACCGAAATAATAAAAATTAAAAAAAAATTATGTATTTATATTAAAATCTATATAATCATTAATTACATGATTGATTAATATAAGGAGTTAAATAATTTACTAGTTTATCCTTTAAATTGTAGGCAAAGTTGATTTTAAAATGCATTTTTAGTAAAAACTGATTAATTACAGTAGTACTTCAAATAAAAATGCTTTACTTTTTTAATAAATTCTAGACCTAGTAGAGTTCCTATCAAACCAGATCAAATAAAACTATAGGTCAAGTTTTGGTTTGATTTTAAGATTTTAAAAAATAGTTAACCTGAAAGTTTGCAAGCATTGTTTGGGTTTGATAGGATTCTAGAAAAAAATAACTTGTATAAATTCTGACAAATCCAGATAAACCAGATATTCGAATACTTAATCTAGTGATTTGATATTGATTATTTTTTTGCTAATTACATATGATCGAGGAATTACAGTATTTGTAATTTTATCTGCAGTTAAAAATTACGAGTTTCATAGTTATCAAGGGCATTAGTGTTTTGTGGATCTGAATCTATAATATTCCTTTGACAATTAAACACGGCAGTCGGTAGTTCCGAAAGCAAAAACTGGCTCAATTCTTTACAAATCTCTAAGGCAAAGTCTAATATCAATTTTGCATTTATCGAAAGCCTTTGTCTGGTTGACGTTTTTGCTATAATAGTACCAAAACTTTATATAAATATCCGCTGCAACTGCTGTTTCCTGATAAAACTTCGGACATGACATCATAAATATTACCTTCCTCATCTGTCTTTAGATAATCCTTGTCTGTTATATAAGATAATATATTTATTAGTGTATTGGTTTGGCAAAAGTTACTACCAAGAAATTAGCATAAATATATTTTAGAGAGCTTGTCAACAAAGTGACAAAGTGATTATTATTGCAAGG